GTGTTTGTCAGGTGTTTCCACTGTACAGTTAGCCTCGTCCCCCTTTCATACTGTGGAAGTCGTTACGCATTGCTCACATCTAAGGAGGGGGGAGGTATGCTTCCCCTCCTTAAGGGTGGAGTGTTTACAAAAATTATTTGAAATTCTTCCTCATGAAAGGTTTGTCTCTTCTCCCACATTTATTAATTTGCTTATATCAGTACGGAATCATGGATATTTATTTTATACTTTGCGTTATAATCCAATGCTACTTTATTTATTGCTTTGCTCAAATTCTTCCAGGTTTGGCCATTAGGAACTCTTTCAGTTGGCTCCTGTGATCCTTTGGCATACCTCCATTAATTTTCTTATCACTTCCTTACTTTCTGGCACTATAAAATAATCTAGGCTCATCTTATATATCTCTTGCCCCAATCCTAGAATCAGCCATTTCTCTTAGGAATCATTTTTCCTTTTATTGGAGGATGTTGTTGGAAACCAACATTTGGACAAAGGTGTGCTTGTTGCTACTGGGGTGTCCTTTCTTTTAAGCCTCTCAGCTGACAGGGCACAGAAATATATACGTGTGTACACTAACCTTTGTATATACAGTTCTATATGCAACCATCTATATCTATATTAAGCTAAACATGAGTTCATACTGATGTCTCCAACTCTGATCCATTCCCACATAGATCAGTCTAGCCTCCCTTATTTATCTGTAAATTCCCACTCCAACAGTGAGAAACCTAGCTAGATGGGATGGTGGGTTTTCATTTTGTTACTGTATACCTTTTTCTAATATTCCTTGATGAAGATCGTTTTAAGAGGCTAGGGGCGCTAATGTGCTCATTCTGCAGTGAATGGGATTTAACTTCTGTGAGGACACGGGGTTATCACTGTGAGAAATCACTGTTCAGCTTAGTTATTAATCTTCAGCTTGGGAATCAGAATCAGAATCCAAAGAGATTCTGAGAGACTACAACAATGGGTTGATGCTAAGAAGCTGGAATTTCCTAGGGAAAATTATAAGGTATTGCACTTAAATCTGATTCATCAGCCACAAAAGAAATGGATGAGGTCACTGGGGTCTTGGCTTGTTCGGCCAATGCTCTTATGGTCTACCAAGCCTGGGGAGTTGCCTTCAACTGGCTTGCCAGTGGTGCTTTTAAGTTCTTGAGCACAAGGTTTGCACTAGTAGGTGTCCAGGAAATATATATGGAATGTTTAATAGTTTTTAAATTTCTTCTCTCACTATTAGCTAGTATCCTTTCGCTTTTCAGTGTTCTTTGTGTTCAACTCTTGGTTTGTCTCTTCTCCAACACTCTTCCTAAAGAATAGCTACAAAAACTCAACCCAAACCAAAACTAAACAAAAACCTAGAAAACCAAATACTCATGCTTGTTAAAACAACATGTAGACTTGGAGATGAGATTCTGTGTAGATCAGAGATTTTCCAGTGGGTTACATAAATGAGCTTGGAGGATGTGTGGCATCTATCTTTGCCTACTTAGGGCTCTTTCATGCTTGTTTCAGGAGTTTTCAAGTCTGCTCTGGTCAGGGTGATGAAAGAACCACCCACTAAAAGGAAATTCACGAAACCACAAATCTATGCAAAGTGACATTTTTATTCCTCTGCTAGAGTAGTGACCAATTCTTCCCTCTGCCTCTATAAGGCTCACTTGGAATTGGAAAATTCAGCCATTGTCCCTGCATCCATATTATAGTCATGAAAATTTGCTAGGACATTAGGTGAGTTTTAGTTCTTAAATTCTGTATTAGGCAAGAAAAGGAAATCAAGGTATCCATATGAGAAAAGAGGAAGCAAAATCATGTTTATTCACAGATGCATGATCCTATACATAGAAAATCCTAAGGAATTCACACTACTAAAAAACCGGTCAAAGTCACAGCATATAGGATCAATATATGAAAATCAATCGTATTTTTATATACCAGCAATGAACAATTCAGAAAGGAAATTAAAAAAAAAATTCCACTCATAATAACACCAAAAAGACTTAAATGCTTAGGAATAAATTTAACAAAAAAAGTACAGGCTTATACACTAAAAACTACAAAATATTTTTGAGAGAAATTAAAGAACATCTAAATAAATGGAAAGATTCATGCCTTGGAAGACTCAATATTGTTAAGATGGCAATTTTGTCCTAAATGATCTGTAGATCAAACATGATCCCTATCAAAATCCCAGCAGAATTTCTTTTTCATTTTTGCAGAAATTGACAGGATCATCTTAAAATTTACGTGGAAATGCGAAGGGACCAAAATTGCCAAAACAATCTTAAAAAGGAAAAAGCAAGTTGGAGGACTCAGTTCCCAAATTCAAAACATTCTACAAAGCTATAGCAATCATGACAGTCTGGTACCAACATAGGATAGATATGTAGATCAAAGGTATAGAAATGAGAGTCTGGAAATAAACCTTATATTTATGATCAATTATTTTTTACAAAAGTGCCAAAGCATTTCAACGGGAAAGGGTGCTGGAACTGGACATCCACATGCAAGAAGATTAATTTAGACTCTTACTTCACACCATACCCCAAAACTGGATCACACAGATCTAAATGTAAGTGCTAAAATTATAACACTTTTATAAGAAGATATACAAGAAAGTCTCTGGGACCTTGTGTTAGGCAAAGAGCTCTTAAATACAACAACAAAAGTATGATCCATAAGAGAAAAAATTGATGTCAGACTTCATCAAAATTAAAAACTTTGCACTTTAAAAGACACCATTATGAATACGAAAAGTCAAGTCACTGACTAGAAGAAAATATTTGCAAAGCATATACTCAGTAAAGGACTTGTATCCAGAGTATATAAAGAACACTTAAAAGTCAAGCATAAGAAGATAAAAAACCCAATTAAAAAGTGGGCAAAAAATTTCATCAAAGAAAATATACAAATGGCTAACAAGACTTGAAAAGATGCTCAACATCATTAGTCATTAGGGAAATGCAAATTAAAACCACAATGAGATACCACTTCACATCCACAAGAACAGCTATAATCAAAAAGACAATAACAAATGTTGGTGAGGATGTGGAGAAATTAGAACCCTCATACATTACTGGGGAACGTAAAATGGTGTAGCCACTTTGAAAAACAGTTGGCAGTATCTTTAAAAACATTAAACAGAAATTTACTGTATGATCCAGCAATTCATTCCTAGGTATCTGGCAGGAGAAATGAAAACATACGTCCACTCAAAGATTTCTTTGTGAATGTTCACAGCAGCATTACTAATAATAACCAAAAAGTGGAAACAAATGTCCATTATCCGGTGAATGGGTAAACAAACATGGTGTGTCCATTCAGTGGAATACCAGTTAGCATTAAAGGGGAGCTACTGATACATGCTACACCATAGTGGAGCTCAGAACATGATGCCACATGAAAGAAGCCAGCTGTAAAAGATTACATATTGTATGATTCCATTTATACAAAATGTTCAGAAAAGGTAAATGTATAGAGACAGAAAGTAGATTAGTGGTTGCCTTGCACTCGGGGTGATAATGGGGATAGACTGCAAACAGGCACAAGGAATTTTACTGGCACGATGAAATATTCTAAAACTGAACTGTGGCAATGGTTACACAACCCTGGAAATTTACTAAAAGTCACTGAATTGTACACTTAGTACAGGTGAATTTTATGGCATATAAGTTATATTTGAACAAAGCTGTTAACAGAAGCTGATGAATAATATGTATAATATCTCATTTGAAAAGAAATAAACAAAAAAGAAACAGAAACAAAACAAAACAAAACAAAATAAAATCTAAAATTAAGCTCTCTCAACTCTAGTTATCGTGTTTTACCTTAGTTCTTCAGAGCTTATTCATCTTATAGTTGAAAGTTTCTACCCTTTTACCAACTTCTCCCTATTTCCTCCAGTCCCTGTCAACCACTTTTCTGCTTTCTGTTTCTATAAGCTTGACTTTTTTCTTTTTAGAGTCCACATGTAAGTGATGCCATGCAGTGTTTGCCTTTCTCTGTCTGTCTTATCTCAGCATAATGCCCTCCAGGCCCATCCATGCTGTTGCAAATTTCTTTCTTTCTCATGGCTGAATAAGAAATTGCTAAGAGAGTAGAACTTAAAAGTTCTCACCAAAAAACCCCAAAAACAAAAAAAACGGAGATAAGTATGTGAGGTGACGGATATGGGATGTGTTAGTTAACTAGATCCTTTCACAGTGTACATGTAATTTCAAGTCATCATCATGTACACTTTAAATATCTTATAGTTTTATCTGTCAATTATACTTAAATAAAGCTGAAATAAAAAATTGAAATAAAATTAAGCTGCACAAGAATGCACATTTATGGGTAATACCATATAAAAGGGCTTTGGGTGGCAAACCATCTACAGTGGCACTCCCTGGTTGTGTTTGAATGTTTTTTATAATAAGCATGTATTATGTTAAAACTTAAAAAATTTACTCTGTACCAGTGTTTTCACTGATCCACATCTAAATTTTAATTTTGGTTAATATCCCAAGCAGGCAATATTCATTCATTACTTAAACTCTGGCATGGGGAGACTACTACCAAAGGCACTTGATATCCCTGTTTGTTCTTAATTTCTTATTATGGAAAATTTCAAACACATAAAAGTAGACAGAAGAGTCTAGTAAACTCCCATGTAACAATTTCAACAAATATCAACTCATGGCCAGTCTTGTTTCATCTCTACTCCTACCCACTTCCCCCATGCCTTATATTAAGGCTTAGAAAAACTGAGTTGCCTATTATACTGATGCAAAAATGGAAATATAAACAGCTCTGAAATCATGAGATGTCTGGGTGAGGAGAGGCAGAAGTAAATCTGAGAATGATCCTCTAGCCATGAGATACTAGCTCTTTCCGGAAGAAAAGGCTTGGCTGAGACAGAAAGAGAGAAAGGTCATGGTTAACCTGAGAGGTCAAAAAAAATTTCGTCATCCACATCAGGGCTGTGCCTGGTCATATGTGAACAGACAATTTTCTAGGAATAATCTGCTCTTCCATGGAAGGTGAATGAGATTAACTTTCCCAGAGCACTAGGGGACCATTTAGAGTGCTTGGTTAAAGTAATTTACCAAGTGGTCTCCTAGTGCCCTGGAGAAACTAATCACTTCGTATGGATGAGCAGCTTGTGCCTGAGGCTGGGTATTCCTCTTAAACACCCATTGAACTTGAACTGCACAGGACATCCCTCCAAAGAGGTGGAATAAACAAACCCTAGAGGGTCCTCTGTCCTCAGGGCATGCCCCAACCCCAGCCCTTGGATCTCTTCGCAGCCAAAGGCAAGGCCAGGGCATGCTGGCTCAGGAAACAGACTTCAGCTTTTAACCATCTGACTTGCAATCTGGTGTGGCTACAGAGCTAGGTCCTTGCTTTTGGAGAGAAGAGTCTGGTCACCAAGCATGTAGGCCCCAAGCTCCTTGGATGATGCCTAGCCCTTTCAGTATATAGCACGTCGGGAGGCAAGCTTCAGAACTCAGGACCAGATAAATGAGCCATCTTTATCTGCTGTACAGAGCCCCCCAGCATTCCCTGAAGCCATTCAGATCTTAAGGGAAACCTGCTGAGACTAACCTAGATGACTTTATCACACCAAAACCCCACTCTAGAATGAAAGTCAGCATAGCCTTTTGGTGGTCAAAGAGGGAAGTTATTATTATTATTTTTAAAATCCAAATTGGAGGCCTGTGCGACCTTGAGAACGCAATTTAGCTTCTCTGGTTCCAGCCCTTCCAGTTCCGTCACCACTGTGTCAGAAGCCTTAGTTAAGGCCTGTGGGGCAAAGTGAGATTTGAGGGTATTTATTCTGATGTCTGTGACTAGGCGTCAGGAAACCCTCCTTAGTGTCCAGTATATAATTTCCCACTCAACTGCTCAGAGTAAACCAAGATCTCCACCTGATTCTCAGCTACAAACAGATTTGTCAGGCTTTCCCTTCTTGTATTTTGGCAGCAAACCTTCTTTAGGTAGTTATTATCTTTTAAATATAAAATCCAGTCACCAAATCAGAAGGCAGAAAAGGCATACATAATTTGGGTTAATTAAAATGCCTCCGAGTGAACAGGTGACAGATGTCAGGCCTCCTGGCACCCGGAAGAAAGGCAGTGCAACAGACTATTAGGATTCCTGTGTTAATCAGGTAATAGTAACTTGGGTAATTAGCAAATCACACCAAATCTTGTTTAAGTCCCAAATCTCATTTAGAGCCTTTTGGAAAACTGTTTAAATACAAAGGACACATTCTCCTACCGACAGAAGACGCCTGCTTACTGGGGCAGATACCCCAGCTTCCTCTCCTCTATTAAATCCATTTTAATTATGAAGTCTCAAGGTCTAATTCACCAAGGACTGAATGAGAGAGAGCACTTGTCCCTTTGTTCTTGCTAAGGAATCAAGGAGCCCTAGGCTCTGGAGTTCTGGAAAACTTCAAAGACTCAAACAGTCCCAGACCAGAAAACAGGTGACAGTCTTTGTTGTCGATCCGCAAAGGCACTCCACACCTGTTAGAAGAACATCTACCTTCGCCTTTTTCTAATTCACATGTAAAGGATCTAGACAATTAACACCCCTCAGTAGGAGAAGCCCCTTGGTTCCTGAGCCAGAAGCAATCCAAAGGTATCACTAGGCCTAGCACAGTGGACACTCAACAAATCCTAGGGATGATTTGTTGATCCATGAGCTAGTGATGAGCATGCTCAGGTTTGTGCTTCCGCATTCCTCTCTCCTAAGGCTTATTTTAAGCCATTTTTAGAGAGCTCTTTTCAAGACTCCTCCTCCATTTGGATCTAAAAGTACATCTGAAATGTTACTGAATGCCAATCCTGTCATCCTGCTTAGAATAGCTCATACTGGGCTTGTTTCTACAAGATAGTCGGTTTAAGCCCAGGGATTGTTGGATGTCATTTGTCCATGTTTCTTTTTGGCGACTGTCAGGAAAATGATCTAACGGTCTCTAGCACTGCCTCCATGTTCAGTTGTCTTGCCTCCCAATGCTTGGAACTTAATCTGGTTTTATTCCCCTTCCTTCTATTTTTCTTCTCTTATTCAACCACCCCGCCAGCATTCTGGAGAGGGGAGAGGTCAGGGAGTTGATGTCAAGATTGATAAAAGAAGGAGAGGAGAGAAATCTGAAGTTGCTTTGGGCACCAGAGCTGAGCTACCTAGTATAGCTGGGTGACTTTGGCCAAGTCTGTTCTACTCTTTGAACCCTCATCTGCTAAACAAAAGCAAGAGTATTTCTCCACTGACTTCACAGGGGTGGTGTGAGAAATCAAAGAGAGAATAAATGGTAGGGTGTTCTGTTAACCATAAAGCTTCTCACAAGCTGTTTATTCCCAAGGCCTTCTGAGGAGATGAGAGCCAAAGAGCCAGCCTGGGGCAGGGCCTGGAAACAGGGCAGCTCACCTCCCATTCTTAATGGGGTAACTGCTTGCCTTGCTTGCTAGCTCCCATACGGCACAGCAGGGACCAAGCAGATGCTCTCAAAAAGAGCCTGGTGTGGTGTCTGCTCTTAAAAGATGGGCTGTAGGAGGGCAGAATGGTAGAAAGGAAAGACCTCTGGGGTTATAGGTACAACTCTGCTACTAACCTACTGTGTTAACTAGTGACTTGGAAGACAAAACAGACGAAAGCTAGTGAACTCTTAGGGAGGAAAATGGTGCTCACTGGAAGCCAACGTGGGTTATGAAGAACAAGTCATCAGAACAAGACTTTTTCACAGCATATGAGATTGATAAACTTGAAAAATAATGTAGACAGGGCAGACCTGTATTCAGTGAGATATAAATGAGCTTTCACATGCAATTCAAATGCTCAAGATAGAGAAATGCGACCGGGACAAAAATGCAATTAAGTGAGTTCATAAATGTTTGATGTGCCCAAAGGGAGACGAGGAAGGTCTCTTTAACAGTAATTTCTTTCACCCTTTCAGGTTCCACATTTGTATTAGCAACTGATGATGATCAGGGGCATTATCTGATGACAAGTTGCCACAGACACCATGCTTTTTGTCACTTTTCACACTTTGTGTATGTAGTTCCTCCTGCCTGGAACATTAATCCCTAGCTCTTTTCTTGGCCAACTCCAAATCACAAATTTTCCAGAAAGCCCGAATTTGTTAAGCAGCTTTCTTCTGTGCTCCTGTATTTCCCTTCTTATGCATTGTCCCAATAAACTCTTTGAGGGAAGTAACTGTGCCTGTTTTGTTCCCCACGGTATCCCCAGGCAGAGCTCAATGTCCGGCACATAGTGGTTGCACTGAATTTTCACATGTCGTGAAGCTGGAAATGGTGGTATACTCGAGCATAAAACACAGATCCCAAAATATCTTAACAGACTAAAGGAATGGGTGAATTCCATCTTACCCTGATAAGATGACCTTTAATTAGGAATAAAAGCAGTTTGCACATAGGTTCAAAAATAACAAATACGTATAGGTGGAGCAGATATGCCGAACAATTATATATGTGAAGAAAGATTCAAATTAAGTTTGGAATAATCGAATGTTTCCAGTAAAACTGCTGGAAAAGCCAATACCACTAAAAGATGGCACGAGTATCTTCAAACGCAGTGACAGCCCTCACCCTATTTTGGGTGGCTCAACCTAAGAACTAATAATAAACCGGAGCATGTCTAGAAGAGAGTGACTAGAATGACGTAGGGTTGGGAAACCAAGAAATATGAAGAATGGCTGAAAGAGCTAGAGGCCTAGAGAAGAAACTCTTAGGGATATGTAACGACTTTCAAATGTCTGCAGGGCTAATAGATAGCAAGGAGACTGGATGTGATCTGTATGAATCCAGAAGAGGCAGAACCAAGGGGAGAAAGCAACAAACAGACGTCACTTCACATAGGGGAAGTTTTATATGAATTAGAGCTATCCTAACGACTAAGTTTTCCAGCACAGAAGGTTCAGGCAGAGGCCAGATCACCTCTCCCTGGTGATGCTGAAGCCACTTATAAAGGCAGAGGCCTGCATTAGGTAACCCCTCTCGAGTGCTAAGCAACTCTGACATTCTATCATGCTAATGAAGTCACCTGCCACCTCTGCACTTCACCTTTCTCATGGTGCAGCTGCACCACAGTAAAGGTTTTGCAGGGAGAGGTTGAGTGGTGTTTTGATTTGAGATATGCCTGCCTCACCAGAATAAGCAGGTGGTGCCTCTCTGCAGGGGACCTGGGGGAGGATGTGAGACCCACAATGCATGTAGAGAGCAACACTGAGCACCTCCCAAACTAACACAGGGAACTGATGGAAACCCAAGGGAGGAGTCATCAAACAGTGTCTGATCTTCCACCTCTCCCTAAAGGCAAAGCCGTGACTTCCAGCACCAAAGATACCCGGGCAGGCATAAAGGGCTTTCAGCAAAAACCAAGACAGCATTTTGTGCTTCCCCAGTTGGCAGCTGGGCTGAATGGCTTTTTTCCTTCAGTGGGGCTACTTAAATTCTTGGCACTGCTGGATGAGAGCAAAGAGACTGTTCCTATTAAAAGACATTGCCCAATAGACTTCCCGCATACCTGCTAGTAGGGTTGCCGCCCTTACCAAAGACAGGAGCTGATTGCAAGAAGCCCTTTCTTTTCGCAAATTTTCTGGAACCTTTGCAAATCCAGGATGACGATCACCATGTCCACTAACAAAGCAAAACAAGTAACCCCACCACCCAAGAAGAAGAACTGTGAGGCATTTTATTTTCGACTTTGTTAGGCTGCTGGAGGTAAAGGACCGAGTGGAAAGCAGGGTGCCAGGAGCTCCTTTTCTCTGAGGCCATGGTCCAAACAAAACTAAGAAAAATGAGACTAGGAGAAAAAAAAAAGAAATCCCCAACACCGCAAAAACCTAATGGCTGGAAAATGAGGGAGGAGTGGGGCTGGATGGCTGGAAATTGGGCTTCGTCGGTGACTGAGGGCATGCCTACACAGACTTGCAGAGAGGAGGCCCGTCCCCGTGCCAACCCCCCCCCCCACAGGACGGGCGGACAGTGCCGGTTTTGTTGGCAGATTTTTTTCTTTTGGTAGGGTGTTTTCTTCCTGCACAGCAGGCACCAGAGTGAAAGCTGATGAGAACTGGCAGAATTTTAAAAATTGCTGCCACTCTCCCACAGACGTCCATTATGTCTCTGGAGCCT